TTGATACTGTTATTTGAGATATTTCATGTCTGGTTAATTTCGAAAGACAACTATGGGATTTTATTGTTTGGATAGTGTCGAAAGAAATTGTTTGCCAATTTGGTAAATTTTCCACCCATTAATCCACCTACATAATTACAGATTTAGTAGTCGATGTATGGTAATGTATTGTAGTTCATCATACTAGTATGAAACAAATGGAACTCAAGTAAGTCTCAGTTGAAATGAACCTCTTATATATTGCATGTTCGTGGTGGACTGCTCTATCTCAATGGAATTGCTCAGCGAAAAGATTTTTTAGTAGAGAAGCCAGTATATACATTTGACGTAATCATGAGTTTCCTATCACTTATCTCTCTATGTTTCCCTCCCCTAGTGCCTGACAAAATTTATTCTAAGAAGAAATGGAGATAAGCTGCTGGGATGAATAATGTATAAAAATTAATCTGGTGGAATTGTTTTTTGTTTTTTTTTTTTTTTTTGAGGGCTGGTTTCTTCTCTAAATCTAAAGTTGGGAGTCAATAGTAAATTGACAATTTGTTGTTCTTCCTTGGATTTTGATTTGCAGTATGTTCCTAGAGTCCATGTCTTCGTGTTAGGGGACAACCGAAACAACAGCTGCGACTTCCACGATTGGTACTATTCTCAAACTTTTAAAGAGAGTTTCTGTATATGATTCAGTTTAGAGATTGAAAAAATGTTTTTTTCTCATATACTTTTAAGACAATTTCTTTCTTCTTCCTGTTTTCAACTTACTATTTTTTGAATGTTGATAATTACTGTTAAAAATATTGCTGCTACAGACTTTCAAACAGATCAAACTAAATGGAAGAAATTGTTTGTAAATCACATGGCTATATGTAGGAATTGGTTGATTAATCTCTTAAACTAACGTCACATGTAACCTTTTATTAGTTGGTTTGTATATCAAGTGGACATGAAATTATTCAATTCTCACTCGATTGAATCGAATATACATTGAGAACCACCATGTGGGTTAGGGACATTGTTGCCAGAGTTCTCGTTGCTATGGCTTTTCCATTTATGTTATCTTTTGCTTTTCTCTTTTTTATTCAATAGTTAAGTATATTTTGTAATAGAATAAAATTATGTATTAGCTTGTTCCATTATTATTCAAGGGATTGATTAGTACGATATTGTCAAGAGATTGCATTGTTGAAACGACGCTACATTCTTAGAGGATGAATAGCCTCACATATATTGATAAACCAATGAATTGCCATTGTTGTTATCCCAAAATGACTAAATAGTTGGCACGCTAAGAAGTGCAAAGAATGTGGCAAATGGATTGACATAGATGAGCCTATAAGAAAGCAGATCAACATCAAAGACAAACCCCCAACGAGATAAGCCCTTGCTATCCTTAAACTTTACCATCAAAACTACCATGCTCAACTTTTCTTTTACTTGGAAGGATTTTAAGCATAGGTTGCTCAATCGTTTGTTTCTTTGTCACGAGGAGTAGGAGCTTAAAACTTTACATGAAAGGAGGAAACTTCTTATTCTTCACTCTCATTTGTAGGAGTTACTTGAATTATAGGTCATTCTACACGTGTCTCGCCCAAAAGAGTTTCGAGTTGGTAAAATATTACTAATATAACAACTTGTTATGTTAAATCAATATTTGATTTGTTCGAATTTTTTTAGTTACCTCATCCTCTTCATCTTCCTCTTCCACAGCTTCTATTTGATGGTTGACTTTTATCTTCATTATCGACATCATCTTGAGTTTCATTTCTTTTAAATGCTTGACCATGACCACGACCACGACCTCTACCTCTTCCTCATCCTCTTTGCTTTCCACCATCATTCAAAGATGTCTTTGATTCGAGAACTTATTCTAATGTTAATCCACCAACAATTTCCATGAACCCATTTGGCAAATAACTGCATGTTATTATACACACACATATATATATATATATATATATAACTGCATGTTGTGCGTGTATATACATATATGTCTATATATATATATATATAATTGATTACAAGAAGCTAAACAATAATCAAGGATTCAGAAAATGAAGGAGCAGAGTTAAGAGTTTCTGAAAGTGAGGACATAAATAAGATATGGTGGCTGTTTCTTTATATCATCATCTACATTTTTTGAGTTCTTTTTACTTATCCAACGAAATCAATGGTTCTTGTAATAATCATCATCTAATAAATTATGGACCTTTGATGATACTCAATAATGTAAAAAATTAAATAGATTTTTAAATAAAATTATGTCTTAATTTTAAATTAATGTTATAATTAAAACATTTATATCCAATTCAAATTAATTATCTTGGTAATTCATTTTTTAACAAATAAGAATAAAAATATTCTACTACTATCAAATTGAAAATATAATTAGCATTTACTGTATTATGGTATATTAAACATATAATTTATAACTAAGTTTTTTACATTGAATTAAAATAAAATATATTTAAATCAAAAAGGAAATTTAACTGTTAAAAAAAATAGCTATTTCAATAACTATTACTGTAACACCCAACATTACAATTATTTTTTAATATAATTTCAATTACAAAAATAATTGGTCTATATTTTTTATTGAATATACTATTTGGTGCTGCTGAAAAAACTTGCATGAAACACTTATTCCGGGGGAAGTCCTAGATTGTATTGTGGTAATGTGATCATTACCCTTAAACCTCCCAGGGGGGAGATAAAAGAGGGAGGGGAGACCGAGTTACCTTATGAGGGAACGAGGGTTGCCTTCTCTCTGTTCACCACCAGTATCCTTATGGGAGCCTCGTTGCTTTTTCGTTTTGTGAACTTCATTTGCATGAACTTCACTTCACTCAAATAAAAAGACATATCGGAAAAGGGGAGGAAGTGCTTCACGAGTGTGGAGCACGACTACCGTTCTCTTTAAATCTTAAGATATATATACTTCTAGACTGAAAAGGAATGAGTTTAATAAAAGGGAGGAAGTGCTTCACGGGGTGTGGAGCACGACTACCAAATGCTTTAAACATGAAGATATAGATATTATGATAAGCGGGGAGAGGAGAAAACAAAGGAATCAAATAAACAAAATGTGACTTACCAGTCTCTCCAATGATTGAAATGAAGACCCTTTATTTTCCCCCAAACAGACCCTAGCCATCTCCTTCCATTCCAAAACCCTCTTCCTAATCTCCTTCCCTTCTTCACCCACCATTGCCTTTCTTATCACCCTCTCAATCTCCTCTCTCTCAATTAATTTCCCACTTTCAAATCCCAACCCAACCCTCCAAACATCTCTAGCATACCTTGCATTCACCTTTTGGTCAGTAAAAAATGGCATACAAATCATGGGTACTCCTTCACAAAGACCCTCCAATGTTGAATTGCCATTGTTGTTATCCCAAAATGACTAAATAGTTGGCACGCTAAGAAGTGCAAAGAATGTGGCAAATGGATTGACATAGATGAGCCTATAAGAAAGCAGATCAACATCAAAGACAAACCCCCAACGAGATAAGCCCCTGATATCCTTAAACTGTACTATCAAAACTACCATGCTCGACTTTTCTTTTACTTGGAAGGATTTTAAGCATAGGTTACTCAATCCTTTGTTTCTTTGCCACGAGGAGTAGGAGCTTAAAACTTTACATGAAAGGAGGAAACTTCTTATTTTTCACTCTCATTTGCAGGAGTTACTTGAATTATAGGTCATTCTACACGTGTTTCGCCCAAAAGAGTTCCGAGTTGGTAAAACATTACTAACATAACAACTTGTTATGTTAAATCTTATTTTCTCTTTAATTATTTGACATGAACTTTAGATGATTATCATTGAGAAACTTCTTAGTTGCAGTTTAAGACGCAAGAACGCGTAATATTATAAACACCAAACGTGTTTCTCAAGCATATTCTTTTTTGCAAGTTTTCTATTTTTAACTCATTGAAAAATAACACACACACACACACACTATTATCTAAGGAAATCTTTAAATTAAATAAATGATAGTTTGAGTTTGGTCAATAAAATTTACATGATAAAACTTTAAAATCTTCAATAGGTTAATATTTGAACACATTAATAAAGTCTTTAATAGGTTTAGTCTAACTAGAAAAATGTGTAAATTATTGTGAGATGACAAAAGAAAATGTGTATACATGAAATTCCATATAGAATTGGAACAATATATTTCAAATTTTATCAATGTTGATGGAATATATGATTTCAAATATAATAAAATTATATATAAATTCAACTTCCATCACATGAATTGTTTAGTTTAACTTTAAAATTAATGAATATATATATATATATATATATAGGCTAGTGAGAGTAGGAGGCATTGTAGCAGTGGGTTTATGAGGTTGGCAAATCTTTATATGGTGTTGAGGATGATTGCCCATTTAACCCACTTGCTCTAATTTTAAGTCTTCCAAGTTTCTTTTTAATGACAACTTTCCAAATCTCTTGGTAATCTTTCTTCTTGTCATCCGTCCAAATCTCTTCTACTTCTCTCTCTCTCTCTCTCTCTCTCTTTATAGTTATGATTGCTTCCCAATTTTTCTTAGACCGCAATTTTATGTTTACATATAGAAACAAACATCTTCATCCTAATCATTTTCTTACACCTTACATATGAGCGTGACACATAATTATATGTTTTGTAAAAGATTATAATTTCGAGATTAAGAAATAGATATAATCTCGGTATTCCTAAAGATTATGTATTGAAGAGAATACAATAAATGAGTAAGTGTATCCTAGTGGGTAATGCCCGCACCTTAAATACGAGGAGTCGTCTTCTCAAAAAATGAATTAATTAAATTCATCATTCGGTTCTTGAAATACCACCAACACTTGACTTACTAACACGTGTTTAATCCCAACTTTTCTTTCTCTTTTTTTTTTTTTTTTATATGAAAATTATATAGTCTTGAGTGTATATTACTGTACTAGCAGAAGTTGACTAAAGAACTCGAGAAACATGGCTGCAAAATTCAACGTGATGCGGAAGAACCCAACCCAGTGGCGGTCGTTCGTCTTCTCCACTATCTACGGTGACCGAGTCGTCTCATACGCCGCTCGGCCGAGTCAAGTCGCAGTCTTTACCTCACTTCCTCCATAACCAGCAGCAAATGAAGAGAATTTCTTCTTGGTAATTTCACAAAAAGTGTCGAGAGCTTCGAGCGAGATGATAAAACGACTGCGTAACAACCAACTTGCGGGCTGCCCGTCACCCGCCACCTAAAAAACAAATAAATAAAGAAGACGAGACGTTTAATTTAAATAAATTAAAATTAAAATTCAAAAAAAAAGTGATAGTAGACGTCCATCGTTGACCGTCGAATCACAATCACCCACTTTTACCAACAAATCTCCAAGTGGGTCCTACCCGACCCATCTTCCTCCTTGCGGAAACGTTGACCAACTACCACCGTCCATTAAGGACTTTAGCTTTCCCACACTCATCTCTCTCTCTCTCTCTCTCTATATATATATATATGTATATACGTATATATATATATATATATGCCACCTTTAGTGTTTATTCCATTTTTGGAATTCTGGGTGGTACCAAATTATATAAAAGAAAACTTCTTTATAAAAATTAAGAATTAATTTTATAAATTATATACTTTATTAAAAATTATAACTTCAATAATAAGTAATAAATGAACAACGTGGGGGTGGGTCTGATCAGAATTATTTTTTATGTGTTTGATAACTTCACTAATAATTGATGTTAATAGCATTTATTAGGAATGTCGTTTTGTACGTGGTTGGTTCAATTATTGAATTTTGTGAAGGTCTGAAATTATTCAGTTAACGAAAACGACGTAGTATTTGAATATATTCTTTTGCTTGTTATTTTGTTTATCCAATTACGGCTACTATTTTTTCTTTATCTCATAAATCAATATCTCTGTGGTTTTCATTTTAATTCTTATTCTCAAACTTTGAATAATTTCTATGCGGTCAAAGTTGTTTTCATTTTGAAATTTGAAACATTAATTATCCCATGTTGATATAACTTCGTGTTGCCGCATATATGTATATATATATATATATATAATATCTACATGGTAAATAATATAGAGGATTTAGTATTCTTGATTAAATTCCAAAGAGTAGATACGTATAATTTTGTCTATTAATTAAACAAAAATTATAGTAAAATACTCGTTTATGTATAGTTTCC